GAGTGGTCCCTATAAAAACAGCATTCTTCTCTTAGGGCGGCACATAGACCACCCTGCTGTAAGAACAGGAGGTCTAATCCCCTACGATTTTGCAGGGCTAGCTCAGCCAGCGAGCTCAGGGAGTCTTATAGGTGAGTAGTTGACTCCTTGACTTGTCGTAGATCTGAATCTAAGCTGGCTCTGAGCTGGGAATAATGCTGATCTTGCCTTGCCAGGGCTGTGGCTCCTGTCCATATCCCAGCAGCAATCCCTGTCCCAATGAGGAGTCTTAAGGTCCTGCGGTTATTGGCTCCCTTCTAAGTCTAGTGAGGCTGGTAGTTCTCGGGCCTTTTAGACTAGTATAGAGGGTTAAGAAATCTTCATGAGTGTGGTAGGTGATTCTAGGCAGGAGTCTGATAATAACATAGAAACCAGATGTTCTCTGCAGGACTTCCTGATTTACACAGGCTGTTAGTCCCGTGGTGCAGGCCCACCAGGTGTCATTGTGAGGCAGGAGGAACTGCCCCCTCCCTGTGACATTAAGGGGGAAGATGGTGTTGCAGAGGCTAGTATAGGTGAGTGGGACCTGGCCAACACAGGTCCCAATGCCAGTTACCTGAGATAGGGTAAGAGAAACATTTGATAGCCATCTGCATTCTGTGTAATCCACAAGGGAGAACATTCCTTGTACAGCAATTCCCTCATAATGTGGGGCGGCGGGGCAACACCATAGCAGAGCCAGCAAGAGCAGGTAGTGTTCGGGTTGGTTGCATTGAGGAAGTAATAAGATGAATTTAGTATCTGCAAAAGAATTTCCCGGGTCGGGGTAGTGGCAGGAGGGGGAGGAATAGGATCTTCCCTTAAGGACTCAAGAGCCTGAGTTGTTGGCGCAGGAGTATAGGTTTGGGCAGTGGGAGGTCCGGGAGGGGGTTTAGCTGGAGAAGATTTATGAGAATCATCTGGGGGGGGATTTAGGACTCGGTTGGGTCCCAGTGCATGGACGACTGGTCGAAGGAGTAGCTGAATGGTAAAGAAGGCCCCAGGGTCTCTCCCTGTACCGTACAGCCGTAGGCCCCATGTGTGTCCTACATCCCACCCCATAGACTGTTTTCCTTTCTTAGTGAACCGAATTATGAGGGGGTTGCACCATGGTTGGGCACAGGGCCCCCCTATACCTCCTCCAGTGGTCCCTCCCCATCCCAGGGTGGTAGATCTGGGGACCCGTTGTAGGGTTATTAGATCCCCGGTTGATGACCCTTTCCACCAGTATGTGCTGGTGGTCTCACAGCCCCAGTCGGCACAATAATAATCCCCAGGTCCCCTACATTTGTTCTTGTCTGCTGTGTCCGTGGCCTGGACAAATGTAGATGTTGAGACTTCGCGTGCGTGATCTGGGGCCGGGGTCTTGGCAGCCAAAGGGAGGAAAGGGGGTCTGGTCTTGAGGTTCCCATTCTCCTTCAAAGATGTCACAGAGGTCAACCCAAAGGTTGGGGTACCAAGTGTTGGGAGAGGCTGTCTTGGAGGTATTGTTGATGACCGTCCCCATGGCAGGGTTGGTGATTACCCAAGTTAAGTTTTGGGGCATATGGGGATTTATGTTACTTGCAGGAAAGGTGCCATCAGCCGATAAGCAGTTTGATGTCGACAATAGGTTAGCAGGAAGAGTCTCGTCGGATGCAGAGCTTGAATGGATTCGAAGGGTGTGGAGATGCCTTCCAGGTGTCTCCCTTGTAATCTATGCCTTCCAGGAGTCTCCCTTGTAATCCTCTGGGACTGCAAATGGATCGGTAGGTTTTGCATGGGAGGAGTGCACCCAAGCCGCAACGCCGTCCACTTTGAGTGCGGTGGGAGTCGTCAAGAGGATCACGAAGGGGCCCTTCCATCTTGGCTCAAGATTTTTCCGTTGGTGTCTGCGGATGAAGACCCAGTCGCTCGGTTTAAACCTGTGGGGTTGCGGGGGGAGGGGGGGGACAGCAGCTTCATATATGGCTCTGAGTTGCGGCCAGACCCGTT